AAACAGAATTATGGTCGAAAATTTAAATACCCCTCTTGATATTTATTACTACAAATACGTCATGAGCTTCAGCTAATACTGTTCATTGTTTGTACTATCATACCTCCCCACCACTGTTCATTGTGCTGTGTATCCACCACTCTATTATTCTATTATCTACCTACTATTATATATTTACAATACTCAATTACGTACGTATTATCATGTATTTATATTCTGTTACTTGCACATATGGAGATCGAGATTGCCTCGCCTATAACTTTACGGATCACGATACGATTATAAACGGGATAGAAAAATAGCCAGGGGAAGAATCTAAACTACTAGAAGCATGAAGCTCAAGTGCAACAAGCAAGGTGACTGGGAACTGAATGTGATAATGATAAAGAGGACCTAGCGAAAGAAGAGCCCAGTAGCCGAGGAATGACTGGGCGAGGCTACGGTGAAGTCATGTAAGAAACATTCCACCTGTCTTAGCTGCCTTCGATCTCTATAAGAAGCTATATCTTTTCTTATACTGCTTTATTGTTCAAGTTTTTGAAAAAGATAACTAGGTATGGGTTCTTGATGCATTGATGCAGAAGAACTCTGTGTATGCTCTCGGAGAATCATCCGCAACATCTTATAACGACGGAAATCTGGACGACAATCTTAGGAGGGCCAGTCCATACCTCGCTCTCAAAAGGCCAATCTTGGTCGAATACTTTCAGAGTCAGAGAAGACTTGTGGGGCATAGAAGGGATAGAACACTGTGTAGTATATATTAAACGTAGGCGGGAGTTCATGGTATCCCTCGTTCTGAGGCAAATTCTAAGAGATGAATGAAAGACTGCGCTCTCCACAGAAACAATGTCGGAGAGCCTACAAAAATCCCTCGAGAGAATTTCTCGGCCAAGGACAGTATTCAACCAGTCAGAGGAGGATTTGTAGAGGAAAATGAACATAGATTTACTTATTGTTCCCCTCCTACATTTCATTGTTAATCAGTACAATAATAGCTAATTGTTTATATTTGCATCTCGCATGATATTAAAAGATACTCTGAATCAGCAGCCACTTTTTTCCTTCGTGTGTACAACGAAATCATTTCTCTATCAAAGTATACGTCAATTACAATCACGAAATTTCACAGTGGGTGAAGAGGTACAATATCAAAAGACACTTTTATTTCGGCCACTCAGCGAGTTTAGCCGAACCAAGCCGACTACCTAAATGTTATCAAGGAACTGTCAACTTGGTCGACTTCTTAGAGGCTCTTCCTCCGAAGCCCCATCCTATCTGGTGCGCAACAGTAATGGACACTTCCAAGTCGTCTGCCCACGCCCATACCAAGCCCGGATTCTTTTGGAACATGCGACCTGCGGCAATCAAGTCCAGAGGAGTGTCATCGGGATCATCACTACCATTTATGAGCTTCTGCGCTACCTCTCCTGTCTTGATACTTCCCACAGAGCTGACGAGCATGGAAGATTGCACTGCGGCCTTTATCTTCTTGGCAAACGGTGCTTGGTAGCCAGGACCGCCGATAACCCTTTGCTGCGGATGATTGCCTCCACTTGATACGTCCAGCACATCAACATCGCGTTCAGCGAAGAGTTTGGCCAGCTTGACGCTCTCATCAATGGTCCAGCTTGGCCCACCTCTCCACTCTGGGTTGGTATCAAGCCAGTCAGTGGCGCTGATACGCACAAACAAAGGCATTCCCTTTGGTATAATCTTTCGCGTAGCTTCAACCAGTTCAAGTGCAAGGCGAGCACGATTCTCAAAGCTTCCACCGTACTGATCCGTTCGCTTGTTAACAGCCGGAGACAGAAAGCTGGAAACGAGATACCCGTGCGCAAAATGCAGTTCAATGACATCGAAGCCGGCGCGGAGGGCACGGCGAACGCCCAAGAGGAAGTCGTGCTTGAAGCGAGCAATCTCGGCGAGACTCATGGCACGCGGCTTTGGGTAATGCTCGTGGAAGGCCTCATTGCTAGGGCCGACTACATCGTCTGGCCAGCCACCAACCTCTTCAACTGCTGTTGCTCCGGAGCTAAGCCAAGGTGCAACGGTGGAAGCCTTGCGTCCAGCATGAGCCAGCTGAATGCCAATGTGTGCATTCTGACTGTGTGCGAAATCTACATGTTTCTTCAGAGTATCAATGTGCGCATCAAGCCATATGCCTGAATCTTCGGGCGTGATGCGCCCATTGGCTTGGACGGCAGTGGCTTCAATCATCATGAGTCCGGGCTATTATATGTGTCAGAATTGATCAACGTCCACTCATGGGATAAACAGAGAGGTGAAAGTACAGCCAGTACACGAGAGACTTACACCACGCTGAGCCATGCCGCCATAGTGAGTGATGTGCCAAGGTGTATGAAACCCTTCATGTGCACTGTATTGGCACATTGGGCTCACCCAAATGCGATTCGGCAGCTCAATATCACGTATCTTCAGGGGAGTGAACAGCTTTGGCACAGGTTTACCGGATGGCTGAGGCTGGACAGCGCTGCCGGGCACAGGATCCTGCTCAGGCGTGTAGAAGGAAACGCCTTTGGCGGCAACATTGTGGATTGGTCCTGCACATTTGGCTTGCTTCTCTGGCACTGGTGTTCCAGCGCGCGAGACTGTGATTCCGTGATGAGGATGGCAGATGTGTGGGTGTGAGATGCGCTGGGTGAGATAGGCAGCCATATTGACACAACACGATATAGGCTCAACTGAAGATGAAGTGAAGCAGTGGTAGTACGATTGGGTGTGATGGAAAGAGATGGTAGGAGACCTAGAAGAACTCTGAGAGAATTGTATTATGTATATAGAGCCCAATATAGCCCAGGGATGTTGTGCGGCTGTCACGTTTAGAAGACACCATCGGCAGCTTCGGACGTGGCGCCGACAATCATCTAAACTTTGATCGTTGATTTCGACTCTAACATCATGTGGTCTCTCTTCTAATTGATTCAAACGTATCTTGGAAAACATCATGAATGCATCATTATACGACATCTCATCTCAAGCTAGTAAGAAAGGTAAATCTCCAGAGCTTTCACACGTGTCGCCCTAATCTAAACCAGTTTAGCAGTTGAGTCTTGTCTTTTACGTGATAGGCTAGTCTCAAGGCGCCGAGGTCGCAGATAAGCACGGAAGTATCTTCTCAGATTTTGGATCTAAATCTATTGACAGCGTTTTCTATCTGTAGCATGGTGACAAGATGCTCAACCTCGATTGAGTGGGCCATCTACGATATATGACAAAAGGATGAAGCAAGAAATGAGCGGTACTTTGGGCTGTGAGGACGACTAAGCTGTCTGCCTCTGACATCCTGTTCTTTACTTTAACCAGTAACAGTCCTATTTAATACTAAATGCCACTAAGCTGCCGAGCCAATCGCCTTTCGCAGTGGCTTCAAGTCGACTAATAGACACACAAAAGTCAAAAGCTAGCAGTTCTATAATACGAAATGAAAGAACTATAGCGTCGTATGGAATATATAGAGATAATATAATTATTAGTCAGATTGTTTCGGCTTAACAAACTACAGCCACAACTGGAAACTCGTTCGTGAACTGAAACTTGACAACTAGGCCTACTACATATAAATGTGTACACTATGCTCTCATTCTTCAAGTCTTCATCTGTGTAGATCTTGCAACGGAGTGAAAGGGAATTTGCATCAGCATGAAATAATCCGCGAAGTAGTTACTCAAGGTCGAAAGCGATATTGAAGTTGGTAGAATGTTCAGCGCCATGTGATGAATACTCTTTTCTCCTCTGTTTTCCATTGCGAATCTGTGCATATGAGCGGCGCCTACCTTGCGTCCACAGCGCTTCTATTTACAAGAGCGCTGCCGCAACCAAGCCTCTCTTCTTGTATCAAGGGTGGTCTTCGCTCCCCGCTGAAAGATGCGGCCATGCGCTAATTATAATTACAAAGATTCGGCATAGTTTTAATTGAATGGCCGCTGCTCAATCCAGCTGCATCTGGACCAAGATGTAAATTGGTGAGCAAGTTTTCTTATAGGCAGCGCTTCTTGGGGTTATACAGCCAAATTACCAAGTACTTTTGCTGGCTGCTTATTCATACTTACTTTACGGCCGAGTTTGAGCGGCATTTTAAAATAATACAGGTAGGAGAAGATAGAAAAGCGAGGATTAACCAATTATGTATCCAATTCGGCTGAATTAACGATTTCTTAGGTAGCTAGCCTCCATTTGGATCTCGAGGGTAGTGTAGAGTCGCATCACACTTTTGCCGGCCGTGTATAGTGGAAGGGTTAATTAACACAGAGCGACTCTGTTTTGCCATTTTTCTTTAGATCTTGTCCAACTTCCGCAACAAGACAATTCAATTTTGGCAATAGTACTAGCAGTCTAATGCGCGCGGCCTCAGGGGCGATGTAACATGGGCGGCTCCCTGTCCGAGGCTCAATGGTTGAATAAGTTGAATTCAGGCATAATCAACCCCTGCTACACGCCACATCTCTAATTTCGCCCTTGCATGTATGCAAGCAATCATGTATGGGATATGAGCTTGTTGATCGCAATTTTGATGTTTTAACTTATTAAACCTATAGGAAGAACAACAAGAGTTTACTATGAACAAAGAGGGCATTATAAATGTGCCATAAATATTGTATCATTGGGGAGGCCATTGGGAAGCGTCAGCATTCCTAGGGACGCTGCAATTGATGCCTCTTGAGAGGGAAAATAGCCAAAAGGTTCGGACTTTCCACTTGGCACTATAACTTCATATGGCTATTTAGTTGAGGGATTTTAGCATTCAAAACTCTTCTATCATGCATACTTGAAGGGCAATAGCCTAAACAGATATATATCGTACTGATGCTATGAACGTTATGGATATAAAGCAACCTTGCGGTCCAATATTCTTCAATCACAGCAGTGCTGTTTAGTATCATTTAGCATTGGGTAGACACTGGTTGATTTCCATTGCTTGAAGTTATTCACTGTACCAAACCCCAGTAGCTGCTCACATTGTTATTTCCAAAGCCATCATGATCAACAACAAAGCTGCGCTGCTGTTTGCAGCCTATGCTGGAGTGAGTGGTGTTGCGGCACAGCAACAGACCACCTGGGGACAATGTGGAGGACAAGGCTATTCAGGCCCGACAAATTGTGTTTCTGGAGCAGCTTGCTCAACAATAAACTCTTACTATGCTCAATGTGTCCCTGCTACCGGCATAATCACCAGCACCACCACCAGAGCTACATCAGCTACATCAACGCTAAAATCAACCACAGCATCGGCATCAACCACGCCTCCGCCATCCAATGGCTCAGGTACCCAGTTTGCCGGTATCAACATTGCAGGATTCGACTTTAGTTGCTCCACTGACGGAACTTGCAATGTGAGCGGTGCCTACCCGCCGCTGAAGAACTACGACGGCGCAAACAACTATCCAGATGGCGTTGGGCAGATGCAGCATTTCGTCAAAGACGACGGATTCAACATCTTCCGTCTTCCTGTTGGTTGGCAGTATTTAGTCAATGGTACTCTTGGTGCTACTCTCAACCCTACAAACTTGGGCTATTACGATCAACTTGTTCAAGGATGCTTGGCCACGGGTGCATACTGCATCATTGACATTCACAACTATGCCCGCTGGAACACTGGAATTATTGGCCAAGGCGGTCCTACAAACGCCCAGTTTGTTAACCTTTGGACCCAACTAGCTACCAAATACGCCTCCGAGTCGAAGATTTGGTTCGGTGTCATGAATGAGCCACACGATGTTAACATCACCACCTGGGCCGCCACCGTGCAACTTGTTGTTACTGCGATTCGCAATGCGGGCGCTACCTCACAGTATATTTCACTCCCTGGTACTGACTGGCAATCTGCTGGAAGCATCATTTCTGATGGTGGTGCGGCGGCTCTGGGTGCCATCACCAACCCTGATGGCTCAAAGACCAACCTCATCTTTGATGTGCACAAGTACTTGGATTCCGATAACTCTGGCACCAACTCGATTTGTGTAACGGACAATGTCGCTTCCGCATTTGCGCCACTGGCTACCTGGCTTCGTTCGAATAACCGCAAGGCCATTTTGACTGAGACCGGTGGTGGCAATACTCCATCGTGTGAACAGTATCTCTGCCAGCAGATCCAGTACCTTAACCAGAACGCTGATGTTTACCTGGGATACGTTGGCTGGGCTGCGGGTTCGTTTGATCCCGGCTACCCATTGGCAGAGACACCGGTCCAGAATGCAGACGGCAGCTGGACTGATTCGGCTTTGGTGGCACTTTGCCTTGCTCGATGATACAACAGTGTACATAGCAAATATATAGTCTTTCAAATTATCAGTTTCGTTTATAATTGCACATGTACTTATATTGCATCAAATAAATACCCATAGATGGGAATGAGCTTCTCATTTTCTTCTTTATGCTTCAATCTTCACTTGGAGTTGTCAAAGAACTGCTTTCACCCAAGCCATAAAACGCTGCTGTGGCAACAGAAAATGGCGAAGAGAAAACTGAATTGAAGAGGTTGACAGAAGCCGAAGTTTTCTACTTCAAATAAATGGTGTACATGTACCAGATGGCTGTTGATCTATACATCAAGTATCCAGTCGAACGACTGAAGCTTAGAAAACAATTTTCAGAAGAGATACAGCGTACGCTCTTACACGAGTTATCCACCAAATCTAGGTAAAAACACCTTCCTTTGGATTTCCCTGGTCTGCCAGAATCCAGAAACGTCCACCTCGCTCGATATCCTTGAAAACCTAAACCAGTTTCCATCCGGACTTGATTCAGTATACCGAAGGATGATAAAGCAAATAAATGTTATAGACAACGTCAATGACGCAAGATACTGTTTTCAGACTCTTGGCATCATATTACTCGCATATCGGCCTGTTACATTGATTGAGCTTAGCTGCCTTTTTAGACGCGACGACGGGAATCCTGTAACTGTCGAACTTATCTCTAAGACGATAGCGCTGTGCGGCTCGTTCCTTGATACACGACAAGGAAAGGTGTATATTATCCACCAATCGACCAAGGACTGTGTAAGTGTTGCTACGCTTGCTGGCTTCCAAGTCAGCTCTGCTGATATCCACAACATTATGTTTGAACAGTCGATCAAAGCCATGTCCGCCATACTACAACGTAATATATAAAATTCGGATCCTTTTGGGCTTCCAATATCTCAAATCAAGCGGCCAGATCCTGATCCTTTGGAATGCATTATTCCTGTATATATTGGATCAACCATTTATGCGAAATGTAACCTCAGTCATGGCCATCTTCATCGTGAAGACACAATAAACAGCATGAGATAGCTCGCAACTTCCTTCTAACGCATTTTCTATATTGGCTTGAAGCTTTAGGCCTTATAGAGTGTATTGGAGACGGGTTCATCTCGATATCCAGACCAGAAAGCTTGTTAAAAGAAAGTAAAACTAAAAGAACATCTGTGCATATATGCTGCATTGATCAAAGCAGGCTGATTTTGAAAGGAAATGTCATCAGAAACCTCACTGAAAGAGCGGACATCGGGTATAAGAGCTTCCAGAACTTTCAATAAATTTAAAAATGTTTTCAAAGTGAGTGTCTAAAATCGAACTGATAAGGATTGGTCTGACCAATAAAGGAAAAATCACAGGCTTATCTGTCACGAAGCCGTCCATTATCAAACCGAGAAGCAATAAATCATCAACTTCCCATCTTCCATTTATTAGAGCTTGTACAGGATGCGAGGCGATTCATCCAGCAGAACAGTTCAATAATTGCGTATAACCCTCTTCAGGCCTATAAATCAGCACTTATATTCAGTCCATTAAATAGCATCATACGAAAATTGTTTGAAGCAGAGGAACTTAACTGGTTCAAGATAAAACCCATTGTGGATTATGATTGGACTCCTTGTTTGCGAACGCTCGATGGCCACGACGATACGACTACCTCTGTTGCTTTCTCTGCAAAGGGCTATCTTGCTTCAAGGTCATCGGATGAAACAATGAAGACTTGGGATGCGACAACAGGCAGAGAACGGGCAAAGAAAGTCGAAATCTTAAGGGCCAGAATCGCTCAGTTGCATCAGTTACTTTCTCCGTCGATGGTCGATACCTAGCCTCGGCATCGTCTGATCGTACTATAAAAGTATGGAATGCAACAACAGGTGAAATGCAGCGATCGTTTACGATTCTTGATCCTTGTGTTAATCCCTCGCTTGTTTTTTCAATAGATGACTGCTACCTTGCTTTAAGTTCACACGAAAGCTCTATGACCATATGGGACGCAAAAACAGGTAGCCTCTACCGAAAGATTGAATATCACAATTATAGCCCTTGCTGGCTTACGTTCTCGGCTGATGGCCGTTATCTTGCCTCAGCGGTAGAGGATATCAGTTATCTTGTCCAAAACCCTGATCTTCTCGCGATCAGAATCTGGAATATAGAAAGAGGAAAAGAACAGTGTATCCTCCAGGGTCATGGCACTTGGGTTTCGTCAACAGCTTTCTCACCAGATACCCAATATCTCACGTCAGGGTCAATGGATGGGACCATAAAGGTTTGGGACACAAAAACAGGTGCAGCGTTGCAAACGATCAAGAGAAAGACCTTGGTATGCACTTTATTGTTTGATTCTACAGCCTCATGTCTGCGTACTGAAGCGGGGTCCATACATCTCGACATGGAACATGACTATACATTTATATCACTAGTAATATCTCCAGCCATCAGTTCGGCCAAAGATCTGTGCAAAACTCGGCTTATTGCTAACAACACTAAAGACGAAAATGATGCAGGCTACGCTCTAAGCCTGGATGCATGCTGGATCACCTGGAAGGGCCGTGATATATTGTGGCTTCCGCCTACGTACCGGTCTCTCAGGATCTTCTTGCGTCCTTTATGGGCTTCCACATCATCACAATCACCAATGAAGGACGTAGTTATGGGTCTGGGATCTCGTTCTGGAAGAGTAGTGATAATGAGGATGCCGAGTTCAGGACCATGCTCAATATTATAATTTCATCGTTGGCAGAGTTATTGAATAATAACAAATGAGAGTTCAACGCAATTCAGCTTCACGTCTTGCGCCGAAATGAAAGCCTGGAATTTACATAAAGTTCATTTTGCATCTAGCTCTTCCGGTCTACCCATAACCAGTCCTAGATTTGCGAAACGATATCTAGCTGGGCACGCACTGAGAGTAGTACGCATTCGAATATTTGCAGGTGCCTGATGAACAGCACGTAGCACCGCCCCAACCAGTGCCGCCGCATTGGCCATACAGAGCAGAGCAGCTACCAGTGGGACCAGAGGGGGGCTTCGATGTGCTCGTGGCCTTGCTCGTGGTCGTACTTGAGGCTGGAGGAGGCGGAGTTCCGCCATTAATGGCCGCCACATGGTTTGTAACCAAGCATGTGAAGTCCGAAGTGCCATAGTAAACGGTATTTCCATCATCAGATGACTGACCGTTGGAAAGAGTGTCGCCCCACTGCCAATATAGATCAGCAGCCATGCCTTTGCTCGCCAGAGCAGTCTGTTGCCAAGGAGATTCAATTGCACAGTGATTAGTTGGTGCGCCGTCTAGTTGTTAAGTATTCGGTTAGCTAGTGATCAAGCTGCTGATTTCTTTGTTTTTGGTTTGGATAGCTGCAGGAACAGGTAGAAAATAGCTTACATTCTTCCAACATGCATGGCTTGCCTGATGCCACGCATGCTTGAGCATGGGTTTCAATCCAACTGCTACCCCAATCGTAGGTTTCACCCCCTGGAAAGAACATTAGTATTGGCGTTTCCTTGTATCTTTTGGTCAAAAACTTACAAGAATTCGGATACAAGTGAAGAGTGCTAAAGTCAAGCGTGGTAATGTTCATGTAGCTGGCAAAGTCTGTGCCTTCGCCGTAGGTATATGGGTAAGAGCCATCTGATCCAGTGGCGAGACCCAATCCTTCGTCTCCAAGTGTTACAAGATGGTTTGAATCGAGGCTCTTGACGTACTGAGATACACTTGAAGCCCAGTTCCAGACAACACTGGTGGCACAACCGTTGCAGCGAGGCTCATTGGCCAACTCCCAAGCGAAAATAGCAGTCGAGTTGGTGTAGCGACTAACCACTGCTTGGATATACTTGCGGTATTGAGCTTGCGCAGCGGTATTAGTATACCAAGAAGTCGCATTGCCGCCAAAAGCGTTTACATAGGCGTTGATTCCTCCATAGTCACTCCAGTTGTTGACAAAATTAATGATGAGCTTAAGGCCGTGGGTCTCAGCCGATTGGACAACGTAGTCAAGATTCCCCAGTCCAGTGGATCCGGTGTTAATTGTCGAGCCTGACGCTGACAGCAACTGGAACCAAATGTTTCCAGTACCTGGCTGTTGATTCACATCGTTGAAACCCCATATGCGGACAATTTTGAGGCCAGAAGAAGCCATGTGGCTAAAAGTTGTGTCGACATCGGCATGGTTGGTGAGAAACGAGCACCAGTAGCAGTTGGTGCCTGCAAAGTAACCTGTTTTTCCATCAATGTTGAATTGGAGGCCTGATACTGTCACATAGCTGCTGGCGCGTGGTGAGACGGATTGCAATGGTGTGGCCAGCACCGAAGTTGCAGCCAAAAGAGCTAACGCTTGGCTCTTCAGAAACTTCATACTGCAAAGATGGACATCAGACGATGCTAAGGATGTACTCGAAAGTATAGTGATGACTATGGAGGGAGCTCACTCCATTTATATAATAGTCATATTGATGACTGCAAGGAGTGTGGTTGACGACTTAGAAACAGTGGAGAAATATATCAATTGTAAATACTTTCCATGCCGTCTGCTTAAACAGTTAACGAGAGTATCACATCAGCACAGGGAGTGTTTACCTATCAGGTCTCGGATGCCAGCTTCCGTGTTCAATCTAAGTTAAGCTAAGTTATAATAGTATGTCACTATTATAAACTACTTAATATCTTCCACGTGCTCGACTCGAGATTAGGAAACAGTGCCGTATTCACACAGGTGAAACTTACCCTTTGAGGGCTCGGTTGCCTATCTTCCGTGTCAGTTCTAGGCCAGGAAAAAGGCGTCGTAATTACAACCTTCCCCAGACTTGAATAATATCTCTGGCAAATTTGAAGAGGAAGGTGTTAACTCGGCGACGATCAGGCCATTGCTAGGACGGAAGGGCTCTTCCGAGCTGTATAAGGCTAGCGAGCTTCGCAAATGATCGATATAGAGGTTCTGGACCAATAGCAGCGGCTATAAGTTGCATATAAAGACATTTGCAACGCGTAGGCTTGTGGCCTATTTACGCTGGTT